CGCACACAGCCCAGGTACCTTCTAAGGAGCTGTAACATCTGCAGAACCTCAAGGCCCTCTAGTGGTCATGGGAGGTATAGAGTGGAGGGAATAGCCAGGAAGCCACAAAGCACAGAGTTGAACAATGGAGAAGGATCCCTAGCTCTAGGGTGACCAGATAACAAGTGTGAAAAATCGGGACACCTTTTTTCAGGGGGAGGTATGGTTGCGTATACAAGACAAAGCCCCTAATAATGGGACAGGCCTGATAATATGAGGATATCTGGTTACCCTCCCTGGCTCTGGATAGCGGGTGAGAACTCCACACAGACCCAAAAGCCATGCTATAGTATGAAGATCAGGAGTCTGCCTGCTTCATACTTCTGCACTGTCACACAGCTCAGGGGCCCAGTTCTACTGCCTAGGGGCTCCAAGGCCCCAGCTAAGCCAATCATACAGGATTGCCCTGGAGTCCCCTGGAATTAATCTTTAATTAAAGATTATGTCATGTGATGAAACCTCCAAGAATACGTCCAATCAAAATTGGCAACCATCCCAAACACAGGCTCATTGGACCAGAGCCTATGACAAAAATAGCCTAATTTGAAGAAGACAACCCAGAGTAGAGCGGCGACATCCCCCTGCTAAGGATGCACTCATGCATGTGTTCTAGTGAAGGGATCCTGAGAAATAAGCCTGGAGCCGGGGATGGGTCTGTCCCTGCTCAAATATGGAAGGACTGTAACCAGGGTATCTTAGAACCAAAGTCTCTGACAGGCTGTTGTCCTCGTTGAGTGCAGGTGCTTGGAAGTGTAATGCAGACGCCAATCAGAGAAAAGTAATTCAGGCCACAGCTACTAAACAGGGAGGCACCAAGGGTGCTCAGAGATGGACAAGGCTGGACAACGGCCTTCAGTGGGCTTGGGAAGCCCCTATAATGCCTCTGATGTTCCCTGCTCCATTCACGGTGACTATAGCCCCCTGAAGAAATGGTTACAGTCTTTGTTTGGGAGCGAAGGTCCAAGGCCCAGAGGCTGGAGAGATCCGGGAAGGGGGGACTGATGTCAGGGTCAGTTTCAGGCTCTATTTGTGTGTGCCCAGAGCCCTGCTGGGTCTGGTTCTGAGTCAGGCTGCTCCTGAACTGCAGGGGGTGGGGGGAGGTCAATTTCAGCCTCATGCTCTTGTGCCTTGACCCACAAGCTGGGGGTCCTGTAGGACTAAATTTCCTCTGGCCTTGGCTCCCCCGGTGGCCTCAGATCCCCTATACAGGGGAGGTCCAGGAGGAGACTGCCCTTTGGGGCCAGTGCTTGGCCAGTGTTCCGGGTCTCCTTCCAGTGTTCCAACTCTAGAGCTCTTACTTGAACCTTCGATTTCCTGGGGGGCTTGGGGCTTCTTGTGTCCTGAGGCAGATGAGTCCCTAGTGAGGGCTCGGTCCAGAGCTCGACCCTGCAGTTTCAGTTGTCTCCTCAGCTTCGCTCTGCGGTTCTGGAACCAAACCTAGGGAGACCCAAAGGAAAACAGGCATTAACAAACCATCCTTTTGCCTGCCTGCACGCTCACGTGCTGCTGGCAAACTGGAAAACATGGAGGTTTATAAAGCATCCGTCCTGCATCTGTCCCCCCAGGCTCCTCTGGGGGAGCTGTAGCTCCAGGAATCTAGAAAGATGGTTACATAAGTGAAGGTTTTAAACCACAATAGACATTTCAGGTCATGTCATGTGGAAAAAAATCTCATTGCAGAAGGAAGGAAGTCTCCCACCCACCTACCTGCCTACCTACCTAGAGGGAGAATTCTAATCCCCCTTACACCCTCCACCGGGGAGCCGGACACTTTCACATGGGCTCCCAGCACACCACTCCCTCCCTCGTGAGCTGGGGCTGCAGAGAAACTGGGGGACAAGAGCAGCTCTCTCACTCTGAGCCTGACAATGGGTCTCAAGCCTCATGTCCCCACCCCAGACCCACCAGAAATGGGAGGGATCCACCACCCTTGTTTTCCAGAGACCTGGCAAACAGCAGCCCAGCTCAGAGCAGGGCAGCTGTCAAAGGTGTCGGAGGTGAGGAGAGGGGAAAAACAGAATAGAGAGTGGGGGCAATGCTGGGTAGATCCCACAAACTCGCACTTGCCCCACCATGCAGCTGGGCGACCTCCCCACTTCAGCCATTTCCCAGCCCTGAGAGGAGGTTGATCCTTACTCCAGCTCTCCCCGATGACCTGTGGCTGCAGAGTTACTGCCTCCAGAGCCAACAGGCAGGCAGAGCTGAGCCCACCATCTAAGGGTTCCCTCCCGCCTCTTACCTTCCCCAGCCCGAGGCAGGTTCCTCGGGCACCAGTGCCAATGGGGCTGAAACATTGACAGGGCTGGGAATAAGCACAGCGAAGATCAGAGCAAACAGGAGGTGACAGAGCCTCCTGCAGCAGTGTGCTAGCCCCCTGGACAGCAGCCTCAGAGGCTGGGTACAAAGAGCTGCCCTCCCGGCCAGGGGGTCAGGGAGAGGAGTTCATTGTGAGCTCTGCAGACCAGGGGAAGGTGCTATTGCCAAACACTAGCCTAGCATCTGGTACCTGAACCCTGGCCTCTATCAGGTCTAGCCGGAGGGCTAGGGCCTCCCTCATGAAGATGTCAGGGTAGTGCGTGGTCTCAAAGGCTGATTCCAGCTCCTCCAGCTGCCAGCTGCTGTAATTGGCTCGGGCTCGTCTCTGCTTCTGCGGGCGAGCTTCCTCTGGAGAAAAGCCACAGTGACCCCAAATGAGCTAGTACCACTCACCAGACCAGCTTAGGGGCACAAAGAGTGGGTAGCACACTCCACTGGGCACTGTCCACCCCTCCCTTCACCACCAGCCCCATGCCCTCCCATGCACAGCCTGTCCCCTTACCAGGGCCTTTGTCTCTCATCGAGACCAAGACCTTTCAGTCAACTACATGAGGAGAGGAGATCCCTCAAGAGACTTGTTGTTCATTTTATTTTAAGTCTTAAAAAGCCTTCACTCCTCAGTATCTAGATTTCATTCCGCTGATTTCATCTGGGCCATTTCATGGTAGTGTCTGAGTGTTTCACGATCTCGAACGCATTTAGGATGGGATGGGTGGCATTGAGGTTATCCTCGGTTTAGCGGTAGTGCCCTGGAACCCCAGCCAGGGACCAAGACCCCACTGTGCTAAGGGCTGCACAAACACAGAACAAAATGACGGCCTGCTTGTGCTTGGGCGGGTGTCACAGGGTAGCTGGTTCCCATGGATACAATGAACCCAGTTCCCCTGGCCAGAACAATCCAGCCAATTAAAGAGGCTAAACTACGCCTGGGCCTATCAAGGGCTGCTAGTGGTAGCTCGGGCAGATGGACCGAGACAGCTGCGCCTTGGGGAAGGAAATCCACACCAGAGTGGAGCTAACTCCTGTGGTGGGTCCCCAGAGCCAGGGGCTCATGGAAGCAGCCCTGGGGCTGTTGCTCCAGCAAAACTGACTGAGACTGGGAAACTGCCAGGAGCAAGACAGCCTGGGGCTAAAATAAGTTAAAAGGCTGTTTTCTGGTTGTTCGCTAACCTCTGTTAAGGAAATACCCCCCCTTGCAAAGCCTGGGCATGTCAGCGTGTGCTCTGGGGCTGGCCCGAAGGGCTGGCCCAGGGACAGATGGGCACCTAACACCACCAGTG